AATAATTAGATTTTCTTGTTTTTCATTGGGACGTAGAAGGTAAATGAGCTATGGCCATCGCTAAGTTGCACAAAAATGCATTTAATTTCGGACCCGGGTACCAGAAGGGAGAGGTTGGGATTAAAATATATTAAAATATTATTATTGGGTTTGTAAGACGAAATTCGGTATCAAAAAGAAAGATAATATTTTTAATATTTTCAATCTGAACCTCTCACGTCTGATACCCGGGTCCGAATAGCCACTTCGATAAAGTTAAGTCTGATTAAACAATGGGTAAATCGTTTCTAATTTTTTCCGGACTTACAATGAAGCTGACAACTTTTTGAATTACCCACATTTCATAGGACCAACGAAATTACAGGTATTGTGTTAATCGTGTTCCAAGTAACCTTGGTGATATATGTCAAGCGAAGAGCGGGGTGAAAGATACCGCCGACACATTTACACAATCAATGCCATAGGTCTAAGAAGATTGAGAGCAAAATAGATTGCAGGCTAACGTTGAAATTTTCCTGACATATCATATTCTAGTCTAGAAAGTCTTACTGAGTTTCCTTTATGTTAAATCACTAGAAATTGTGTTCTAACAAAATCCGTTTTCCTTTGCATGAAGTGAGAAAATTTCTCTCCTTCCAAATGTTCTTTTCTTATTTTTGTTTTTGTTCCACGATTAAAATAAGTCCATTTCTCTGAATCTGGAGTAGGTAGGGGGGGGGGGGCGGCGGGCGACAGTTTTGGAATCAGCGGGTCAAATACGGCAAGGGTCAAGTCTAACAGCTGAGCCATCTTATTGTGTGGTTATCCACAAAACAACGATTAAAATAAGTCCATTTCTCTGAATCTGGAGTAGGTAGGGGGGGGGGGCAGCGAGCGACAGTTTTGGAATCAGCGGGTCAAATACAGCAAGGGTCAAGTCTAACAGCTGAGCCATCTTATTGTGTGGTTATCCACAAAACTAAGACGGTGTGATTAACGCTAATCAGTTGAGATGAAGAAGCGAGCTCTTGCTTGTTATCAATGCTAATTTTATTTTTTTAAAGTTGTTACAACTATCAGTGGTTCCTAGACTGTAACTTGAAGTATCAACTTACATTTAAATTCAACTCTTTTTTGTTCTGTTATCCACAGACACAAAATGTGTCATATAATTCAGAAGTCTCAAAAATATGATTAAAATGTGTATTTCGTAATTTAAAAACAAAACTTAACGCTCATACAAATTAAATAAGGCCAACAAATTAGTTGTACAAAGTCTGACTTTATATTCTCTTTAATTATCACCCACTAACTACAATAGGATCAAGAATATCATCGTGAAATTTAAAACCAAACAGACGATCCTGCCTTTTTTAGTGAGCACAACCATCAGAGCAGTACACGATGTTTAAAAATAGCTCAACCACTTTCATTTTTCCAGGAAAATTATGCCCTAGCTTTTCTACTTACTGTCTGATTGTGGGGAAAATGATTTTGAGATTATTTTTTTCCTCCGAATCAAACCGAAGAGAGGTCCATTGTCTAGTCAGAAAAAATTGATGGGGGTAATGACAGATGTTGATGACGCACGCATTGTCTATCCTGGAGTTTTTTGTTCGAAAATGTGACGTGTTTAAATTGACGAAGACAGCCAGAACAAATTAAGCGTCATGGACTTTGGAGCATGCCATTTTGTGTCTTCAAGATTTTAACATACTGTAACTTTTTAGTATGTCGGTTATGAGTTATGGTATATAAGCTATGAGTTAACAAGACATGAGCTATGTATTATGAGACATCCTATGAGTTATGAGTTATTTGTGAAAAGATATGAGATATAAGAAATGAGTTATGAGTTATGAATTATGAGTTAGGGGTTATGAGACTTGAGTTATGAGATATGATACATTACTATTATTTATGAGGTAACAGCTATGAGCTATAAGTTATGAGGTATGAGACATTAGTTATTATTTATGAGCTATAAGTTATGAGGTATGACACATTAGTTATTATTTATGAGATATGAGTTATGTGAAATGAGATATAAGTTTATGTCTGTGTACACATAAAAAGTACATCAAAAAATCAAAATTAGGTCCCACTTTTACATAAGTAGAAATATTTCACATTTTAAAGGTAGAAATATTTCACATTTTAAAGGTAGAAATATTTCACATTTTAAAGGTAGAAATATTCACATTTTAAAGGTAGAAATATTTCACATTTTAAAGGTAGAAATATTTCACATTTTAATGGTAGAAATATTTCACATTTTAAAGGTAGAAATATTTCACATTTTAAAGGTAGAAATATTTCACATTTTAAAGGTAGAAATATTTCAAATTTTAAAGGTAGAAATATTTCAAATTTTAAAGGTAGAAATATTTCACATTTTAAAGGTAGAAATATTTCAAATTTTAAAGGTAGAAATATTCAAATTTTAAAGGTAGAAATATGTTACATTTTGAAGGAAGAAATATTTCAAATTTTAAAGGTAGAAATATTTCACATTTTAAAGGTAGAAATATTTCACATTTTAAAGGTAGAAATATTTCACATTTTAAAGGTAGAAATATTTCACATTTTAAAGGTAGAAATATGTTACATTTTGAAGGAAGAAATATTTCACATTTTAAAGGTAGAAATATTTCACATTTTAAAGGTAGAAATATTTCACATTTTAAAGGTAGAAATATTCAAATTTTAAAGGTAGAAATATGTTACATTTTGAATAAAGAAATATTTCAAATTTTAAAGGTAGAAATATTTCACATTTTAAATGTTGAAATATTTCACATTTTAAAGGTAGAAATATTTCAAATTTTAAAGGTAGAAATATTTCACATGTAAAAGGTATAACTACGTCACATTTTGAATGTAGAAATATCTCACATTTTAAAGGTAGAAATATTTCAAATTTTAAAGGTAGAAATATTTCACATGTAAAAGGTATAACTACGTCACATTTTGAATGTAGAAATATCTCACATTTTAAAGGTAGAAATATTTCACATTTTAAAGGTAGAAATATTTCACATTGCCAAGATCGAAATATTTCAAATTTCCGATTAAAAAAAAACAACAAATAATTAACTAGGAAGCCTTTATTTTTCTTTCTTTAATTGCTGATCAAAAGTTTAGTTTTATAGAATAAGCATTTAAAAATATATGAACATACATTGGCAGTAATCATTACAATCGATCATTGTTTTATGGTCAGTACCTGCACAACACATTTTGTGATAATGTTAAATCAGTAATTATCTGTCTATGACGCAATGTATCACCATGCAGCAAATAAGATCACCGAAGAGAAGACACCGTTCAGTAAAACAACTTTCAAATCATCATGTACCCCATTTACTTAAAATTTTAAAAATTCATAAAGTTGAATAAATTTTTTTTTTTTTACAGCAACTAAATTCTTTTAAATCATAATCGCCTGTGCTAACGCCATCAAAGTTATGTGACCATTTTTTTTCTTCGGACGGTACTGGTTATTTTGGACCGCTGACCTGGTTTGTCGTCTGCTAAAACCTGGACAGTTTAATTCTGCAAACCTAACAACACAATAATACAGGTTTTAATTGATTAAAAGATGTTGCACATCACATCTGACCAGGACTGCCATTCAATTTTTTTTTAATTCCCAAGATTTGGTCAAAACATTTCCTAAGATTTCCCAAGATCATGAAAATATATAAAATTCTATTTAAAGGATCTTGTGAATTTCTTTTTTTAAAAAGTGGGTTTTGGCCCTGAATGGGGTAGTGAATTCCCAAGATCTTGAGAAATTTCCCAGGGTGTGGCAGCCCTGCATCTGATATTCAGGCTTAAATAAAGGACACCGCTACAAGAAACATAATTAATCCAAAAAATCTTCATAATTCGAAACGAACCCCATACAGACGGAATAACTCTCAGTGGAATCACACACACACAAAAGTGACGCAACAATTTAAAATTTCCCGGCTTTGAAATTTTGGGGGAAAAATGGGGTGCCTTACTCAAAGTGCCCAGCATGAACCTTCAGCGGGCGCCACACTTTGTGGCACATCGCCAGCCATGACGTCATCCACCGGCAGACGAGGACAGAAGTGGAAGAAATCATTTAAAGATTATGTGGCAGTTCTGAAGGAACTTTAAACCTGTGTTTGTAAAAAGCACACATAAACCGGGAGGAAATGACACAGCTCAGAGAGCTCTTTCTTGTGAGGAGTTTTGTTAAAAGAAACAAAACCAAATATCGACTGAAGTCATGTGGAAATAAATTATGACTGAGGTACTCATTTCATTATGGAGCTAATGGTTTGTTGGTTGTATCACTTGTGATACGATGTCACGCGTCGTGTCATGGTGTCACGCGTCATGGTACGAAGTCACTGGTCATGTCATGACGTCACGTGTCGGCATGACGTCACTTGTCGGCATGACGTCACTTGTCTTGGTTATGAGACGTATGACATGCTATGATGTTTTTTTATGTTAATTGTCATAAAAGGATGCCACTTGTCATAGTGCGAAGCCACTTGTCATGTCATGATGTCACTTGTCATGTCATGATGTCACTTATCATGGCAGGATGTCACTTGTCATTTTATCGTTTCGCTCGTCGGATTATGAAGGAAATGTCTTGTTCTGACATCTTTTGTCATGTCATGACGTCATGCTATCTGGTTTTCTTTGCCACATGTCTGTGAACCTTCAATGGTGTCAAACAAAGCTCCACAGATCAACCCACTTTTTATCTGAAGAGTGCCACACGTGGAAAAATTCTGTGTACGGCAGTAGATCTTTTTTTCTTAGAGTATCCGACAGTCGTCGTTCGACCTTCGCCTTTGTTGATACACCATGGACGCAGCAAGGGCAGCTTGCTGTTGAACTTCTGCGAAACGCTCTCGCGCCTGCCTCTCTTCTTCGAGCCTCGCTGCTTCCGCCCGCGTTGCCGCGTCTTACAGTTCCTTCAACTTCAGCGCCTGCAGCGCCCGCTCAATCTCCCACGCGGCATTGTGTAATCGAATTCGCTCCTCTTCTTCCATTTGCCTTTGGACTGCTTGCATGTCAGCATGGATGCGCTGATGGACGGCCTCGACGGACTTTTTGATCTCGGAGAGCGCACCAGTTCCTTTGTCTTGTTGATCGACGGAAGAAGCCAACGACTGCGCGGTCGATAATAAGACTTTCAAATCCTGAAGCCGTTCGTGCAGTGGGGAGGTGCTAATCGATGCTATTCTTTGATTGATTTTCAATATTTCGGTGTTCGTGTTTTCACGAATGGAGGGCATATTCAATTCCACGATATATCGTTCTCGCGAATTTTTTGCATCATCAAAATCGATACCCGTGTAACGAATACACTGCAGCTCTCCAATCAGCGAGATCAGCTCATTCAACTTCGTCCCTTGCTTGCGTTTATCCCTATTGTCAAACAGTACCACTCGATCTCCGCAGTCTTGCATCAGTTGTGACAGTTCCCCCACCTGCTCGCTACACCGGTCCTTAAAACATTTCCCCGATTCCTCTGGATCCATTTCAAAAAGGTCTCCGCACGTGAACACCAAGATGCAAAATTCCCTGACGAACCTCTCCCCCAGGGCTTTCTTCAGCAAGGCAACACTCGCGGAATCCTCCTCGGTGAAACGGGTCCCGTATCTCTGCACCAGAAGCACTGCGTGGAAACCCTCCGGGGACTGCTGCAGTGCCAAAGCCAAATTCCCGGAGACTATGCCCATGGCGTCGTCAGCTTTCGATCTCGTGTCGGCGAGTCCGGGAATTTCCACCACTTGAATGACGTGATCGTTGAATGTAGCCCTCTGCGACTGGACGTTGGAGGTGACCGATGTGGTGCTGGATGTGGAGTCGAAGGCTTTGAAGCCGAGGATCGTGTTGGCGGTGGCGCTCTTGCCATTTCCGGTTTTGCCAAGAAGGAGGAGGTTGAGATCTCAAGGTGACCGATGTGGTGCTGGATGTGGAGTCGAAGGCTTTGAAGCCGAGGATCGTGTTGGCGGTGGCGCTCTTGCCATTTCCGGTTTTGCCAAGAAGGAGGAGGTTGAGATCTCTCGAAACCTAAAAATAAAACAGCAATAATGTTTAGGTACTTGCGTCACGCATTGGACCACTTTAATAATATAAACGTTTTATTCAACATAGGAAACCGAAACTATGATATACCATAACAATTCGCTCTACTACGCATTCCTGCCCATATAACACAATATTGCAACAGCTTGGCCAGAAAGCTGTGCCAAGGAGTGATAGGTGCAACACCATGCTGTTCGTTTAAAAAAAAAAGAATCTGATTAACAATACAAACTACAAACCAAACACACAACAACAAAAACAAGTAATCCCACTTTGGATATAAAAAAAAAATTACTTATCCCATTGGAGATGCAAAAATTACTTTTCCCACTTTAGATAAACAAAATTACGTTTCCCATATTAGATATAAAATTACTTTTCCCACTTAGGATAACAAAAAAATTCCTTTCCCTACTTTAGATTTTTT